CGTGCCACATCTGGCCCACCAGAACACTCCAACCACTAGTTCTTCATCAACTGCATCATCACTGGCACCGTCGACATCATCTTCAGCAACGTCGATGTTGTCCTCCAGGACTGCGACATCCACGCCCGCGTCCCCAGCACCGGACAGAAGAACATGATCACCGCGCAGGGATACAAGGACCCCAACCAGAACCCCAAGATCGGCACCACGACGGACCTTCTCCTGCAGACTGCGCCCGGTAACCAGACCTACCCGGTCAGGGGAAAAAAAAGTTTACTCTGCTTTTCTATCTTCAGTGATGGGGAAAAACAGGGGAGTTTCGATTTCTCACCGAAACAGGCAGGGTTGTTGATCAATCAGCACAGACTTCCTCGCCCCATAGTTGTACATGAGAGATGCTTCCTCTTTCTCCGACTGAAATCTCTTCGAATTTTGTCGGAAAAGGAGAAACGGAAGTCCTTGCCAAGAGACAAAAATACGTGAACCAACTTGGATGGAAATCTACAAATATATTATAACAGAGTTGGGGGCATTTTTTCAGCATTTCAAATTTCGTGCAACGAGAACGAAAGTAGAAAGGGTAATTGTGTCTTCACAATCATTATTTATTTTTTATTCATAAGGAAAAATACATCAATCTTGGGATTTGAACCATGGTCTTTCCAAACAAAGGCAACAACCATTACCGATTACACTAAAAAAATATTTTGTATGTTTTTAAATACCAAATCTGAAAACCTAAACTCTAAAAATCATATAAATCATATAAATTTTTCACTATTGTTAGCTAGCCCACTAACTCTCCCTAACTCCGTAAGTACTTTATTTTTTATTTGACATTTGAATTTTCATACTTTGATTATTTTGATTATATTAATTTGAGTTTAATAATAAATTTAATTTATATATATCCTATAAATGAAGGATAATTTTAAAATTGCAAACCAAATATCATTGATTTGAATATTGCATATTGAATTGTAATATTTAATGTGCATATGTGATGTACAATTCTTAACTTTGTATTAATTTTTAAAACTATTAAAGCAACAATATTGTTATGCAAACAGTAAGTGACCAGTTTTTTGAAAATTTTCGTTTGGTTAACCGTTAAATCCTAAATCTCTTTATAATATAGCACGATTGGACAAATAAGTGAGTTTAAAAGAACACAATATTTAACATCAATTTTTCTATAGGATTTCAATTATTTAAATTTTTTATCTTATAGGGTAATTGACCATATGTATCATTTATAGTTACTTTTTTAATATGAAATAAACGCAGTACAAGACAAATCATGAAAGTCAAGCTGGAGTTTTCATGGACGCATTGATGTGTTCATGTGCATTAGCAAGGTAGGTACCATAAGATAGGTTAATTTTTTTTTTTTTGTTGAGTGAAGAAGATGCTTTCAACTAAATTTAGAGTATGTTGGTTGATAAATAATTTTTTCATTGCATAGAGTATGGATGGAAAATGTTATTTTCTTACTAATTCCGGTATTGTATTGTGCAGAATACTTTAAGATTTAGATATTGCTATATATGTATTGTTTCTCAAGCAAAAAAAAAATATTGACTAAAGATTATGATAATGCGTTCCCTATTTATACTACGCTTTTTTCAGACAAACTCTTTTTCTGTTAAACCAATTTTCTTTTCAACCATAGGCAACTAAGTTACTACATCATTAAATAAACAAGTTATGAATGGTTATTCACAAGTGTTACTACCAAGATTGTTATACCTCTACCGGGAAGCTGCTTGGACTAAGTCCGACCAAGATCGTGCTCCAAAACGAGCTCTACAAAACAAAGGTCTGATCGTTAGAGATGGAGAAGAAGAAAGAGGGAGGTGGAGGGGAGAGGCAAGGGGATGACGAGTGGATCTTGAGATAGATATTTTTTATGAAATTTGAGTTTTTAATAGATATAAGTTAATACATTTCGTTTCAGTCACTATATTATATGTAAATATATTTAGAAAAGGTTAAAACGACTCAAACATGCTAGACTTCAATCAAACTATTAAACTTCAAACAACTTGCTTGACCGGCTCAACGACTTAAACCGATTTAACAACTTTGGTTATAATCATTAAGATTACAATGTTCATCATTGATGAAAATTTATAAGAATTTAAAAAATGGAAAAATAATTTTGATGTCACATTAATGTCATACGAAATTCAGCATTACAAATAATTTAAAGAATTTAAATACACATCACAAATATATAGTATTCAAATGACATTTCGACCAACGAGTCGGACAACAAGCTAGTTGATTGGAAGGGGGACTTTGGGGAATTCACTTGGACCGAATTTCTTCGCGAGCAGAGCGCGGAACGAGCGGCGATGGGCAGAAGGCGACTTGGCGAGAGCGGCGAGTGGACGGAGACTTTGTCAATAAACAAGGGGGATGGGTTTTTTTTTTTGTTTTATTTATTTTAATGATGTAGAAATATTAAAAGCATTAAATTTATTTTTATTAATTTTTAATTATCACTTCAGACATTTAACAGTCAAATGTTAGAGTTGACTGGCACATCATATAAAGTTAACTAAAAGTGACTAAACGTGACCGTTTTACTAATTTGAGTGATCAAAATTGATATTAGTTTTTTCTAGTGGCTAAACATCTAAAATTTTAATAAACCCAATGACCAAACTTGGCATTTACCCAAATATACTCTCATGAACAAATTCTACCTTTGGACCCAAAACCAAAATACTCAACTTGCCATCATATGCTTATGAGAGATTGAGAATTGTTGAATGAGAGCAACCAGTGAGGTACCCATGATTTTGAGATAGGTGTGTCGGCCCATAAAATAAATTAAAAATGAAAATAATTTAATTAAAAAAATATTTAAAAATAACACAAAGATTGTATTCATAAAGTTCACCAATTTTATTGTTTTTTTACCGTAAACCACAACGAATTCTCATATACTGAAAGATTTCTTGATTATATGTGTTCATTAGGATGCAAATGAAATTCTTTTTTATGTAAACAACTAAACAATTATTATAAATTTGTCACTCAACTGATACCAAATATCGTTCTTGATTAAACTCGTATTTAAAAAAATATCATATTGTAGCTTGCAGTTGCAAGACGTAAAGTCAACTCTAATTTAAGATGGAAAAGCTGAAGGGTGGCCACATGCGTCAACATGGAAGTTCGAATTAGAATGAGGATGTCGTCGGCACGACGCCAACAATTGGAGGATGGAAACAGGCGCCAACGTGGAAAGTAGTAACTAAACTAGAAAGCAATTTGGAAATTAACTTAAAGAAAAATCTATGGAAGAAGCTATGGGGAAAGACAACCTGAAATTCACTATCTAGTTACTTGACTTAACCATTAATTCTCATTCAAATTACCGAGGTTATCGCTATGTTGATAGCTATCTCTCTGAATACTCACTACATACTAAGTAACAAATTAATTGTTTACTCTTGTATAACCAGCTAATTAATTACCTAGTTAAAGCCCGATAACTCCTATGTTTACATATTTTAATAACATTATTATGACAACAACAAAATTTAATGTAATAAGGTGTGTCAGATACAATTATCGAAAGTGTGTCGGAGGTCTCGTATTCAAATTTTTTAAACCGAAAAAATGTGTATTCCTCACAAAAATTCGGGCAAAACTGTGTTGGGTGACACACCTTAGAGATGGGTCCGCCCCTGGGAGCAACAAACACACAATATAAAAGAATATAAAATAAATGAAAAAGTTACCGACCAATAGGCCGGGTCAAAAGCTTGTAGAAAAGTATAGAAATAGGCAAGAGGTGGATCGAAACTGGACGGCTAAATGTCGCCTTAGTTTTATTATTATCGCCATAACATAAAACGTAAAACTACTAAATTGCCCTTCATTAAACTAACTAAATTAAATAAAATAAATAGTCATTAAAATTCCTAATAACCTTCGACACCACCGGCATCCCCTCCAAACTCTCTCTGCCGCCAGCATCTTTGCAATCCGCCTACAGTTTCTCCTCGCCGTCGCCTACAATTTTTTCATCAATTCATTAGCGGTACAGCGACACCACCCACCCATCCGCAAAAGGATGCACCGTAATGGGTAACAACCTCCAAACCAATTCCTATAATCCACCACTCCCATGTCTCTTCGCCTCCCAGAACCCTTAATCTGATTATGCAATTCTTTCTTGAATTGATGAACCATGGAAAGAAGCTTCCTCCAATATTGCCACGTCAACATTTTCTTGATTGAGTTTGACTTTCTAATTTTTTTTATGGAGCATCCTAACCCAATTAGAAGCGGGTTGGCCTATGATGCAATATAGAAGTGACCGGTCAAGATTACATTGTTTTCGATGAAGTTATTTCGTTCGATTGATAAGGTGGCGGCCGACAGATTGAGGGCATTGGTGGGAATCAAAATAGTTGTTTTGTAGTGATTAAGTTCGTTAAAATAAATTAGAGCAAGAAGTATAAAAGGATAATAATAATTTGTAAATTAGAGCGATTACAAAAAAACTAGGGCGACAATTAGCAACTTCCAGATCGAAAACCCTCAACCAGAGCATCTACTTTCGTTTGCATTTTATACTAGTTCCGGATTTACTGTTTGTTAAGGGTTACTTAGCTATTACAATGCCACTTGGCAGACAACGATAGACAACTAATAAACTAACTGCACTAATATAACTTCTTGACTATAAATAAGTAAAGCACTGCATTTTGGGACGAAGGCTCGAAACGCTCACTATATAACTAATCGTCTTCAACTCCCGGAACACGTTTCTTCAATCTTCAGTAAAACCTGCTTCTCCAACTCACCTCTGCATCTTTGTTCTGCTCTGCTAGAAATGATGGCAACAGATCTGTGTGATGGCTTCAATAAATCTAGAAGAGACTGAACCTTGAACACATATATGTATGCATGAGTTGGAAAATCAGACCAGCCGACTCCATAGAGGTAACCTGAAAGGGAAATTTGGAATGTAACATATACACCGGTTAGTTTGGGTCATGATGCGGTGCGATATAAAATACATACAATAAATAAACACAGTTTCTTTGCAGAGTGTGTTTCATACATCTCAGCTAATAGAATGCAAATAGTGGGTGTGAACCTATCCTTGAATAGCCGAAAGCCTGAAACCAAACATACCCCAACAGGAACGCCTAATGCAAACAGTCGGCAGTTAAAAGCTACTTATTAAAGATTCAGGTGGTTACTGGTTAGGCTTTTCCTTTTAGAGGACGTTAAGCTGAAGTTTGCCTGTCAGGTGTCCCAAGGTTGGTTGGAATCAGACGCAGATTCTATTTTGCGTATTACCAACGTAGAGTAAGTAAACTTCAGTTTAACCACCCCAAGCCATCAACAGCCAACTAATCTTAAGCTACGCCCAACAGTCACTGGTGCAAAAGTACAACACATGGCCTGCTTGCACTTCTACTCCCCACATCTCTTCTAATAAGTGAGATCACGGATCAATTCCTGCATATTTCGGCCCTTAACGTTGATTCTAATGATTACACATGCAACAATTGCAGGGAACAACGTTCCAATAACAAGGATGAAACAGATATGTTCGGTGCTTCAAGTAAATTAGAACAACATACCTGGAAACACCTGATGATCTAAACAACGTAATCACAATTCCCAAAAGCTACTCAGCGGTCGAAGGAACCTGCGAGTCATTAACCGAATCTCAATGACCACGGCATTAACAAATCCATGTCCTTGATGTAAATATATTAAAAAAAAGCACTTGGACCTTTCGCTTGACGCAATATCACCTTTAAGGTTTTAACAGAAAAGTACAGTAGAGGCAGAATTAGCGTGCAAGTTCATGGACCAGAGCCACCAGTATTCATATTTAATGTGTCCATTAAAGGCCAAGTGGAACCAACGAGCAGAGGTAGGTAGGTTAATTAGATTATGTCGATGGAATAACACATTATTGTTGAGCTTATTCCTAAATCATGGGAAACCAGCTAAAGTAGGATTCCACTCTGGAGAATTTCATGCGAGCTGTGAGCATGTGAACCGCGTAAAACCAACTGATATCAATTTACGACTATCCAGACAAAACCCAAGTACCACCAAAGTAATTATGAAGCACTCAGATGGAAGTTAAATCACCATCTACGGGTGTAAACTGTGCACCGTTGAAATGGGTGGGAATTCCAAATCAATGACGCTAGTAAGAAGAAAAGAAATTCTCAGGCATTTTACCTTGGACTTTAGTATCTTCTGGCTGTCGCTGAAGTACTGATTGGGATGGTTAATTCCAGCGTCGTTTGGACAGCCATGGATGGCTTCGAATGTTAACGTGCATGCTAACTGCGCAGGACAAATGTTAGTTAAATAACGAGGTAAAAGAATACAAACAGCAAGTGCAGAGCACCATTAGTGATTTTGATGATGACCTGATAGTGCTTATGGCGCACTTTGTCCATCACATCCTCCACCCCGCCACTGTTTACTCCCATCTTACACAGTGCCGCTCTTATGTTCTCTTCGCTGACATTTACCCACCAATTGAACAGTGAAGTTAAAAGATTTGACAAGAAGACAAAGTGGCTCGGATACCATTAAATAAACAAGAAGCTTCGAAGCATTACAGTTAGTCTGGAACCAACAAAAACAATAGAAATCATATTAGTTTGTTTGGAACGAAGAAAAACAGTAAATTCTAATGGTTCCAAACCGAACTTATTTCATTTCAGATACATTTCTTGTTGTGTTGCATCGACAGGATGAAAATTAGGAACTAGTATCCACTTGACCTAAAACTTGAGCTTTCCAATGACTATCAAAAGTTGCATCGTAGGAATTGGTTAAGAGTCGGATGACAAGCGTATATTTTGTCTAATATTGTTAGAATACATGTTTCTTGACAATGCATCATTTTTGTTGATTCATTTTAGCACAAAATTATGTTATTCAGACTCCATATAATCTTTGGATAAATCCAAAAAAAAAAAAATCAAGAGTTCACCACAATCATTGCAAAACAAACACTGATTTTGACATAACATGAATTCTACAAAATTTCTGTCAAATAATTTTCACAATTCCACTTGCAAGAAAATAATTTATTATATTTCATAATACTCTACAATACATGCTTGTCATACAATCCATCCCAAAAAAATGAAATGGGTCTCACTCTAATTAATTAGTATTTTGTTTCTCCACTCCATTCTCTCTTAGACAGAGCCACTTCTATTATTTATAGAAACACTGCAATCCGTTTCCATTAAACTTGTTCCATACCTGTGAGAAAAAGTCGGTTCCAGATGGGCAGTAAGCTATAACCTATTAGTTCTATAGTTGGAGACTAGTCGCTCATATTGAGTGTACACTTGATTGAAAACGATTGATTGGATACTCGTCAATCAAGTTGAGGTAGGAGGAAATGACTATTGTGACCAATTCCATGAGATGGACAGAAACAACCCACAGGGAATAAGTCAATGGAGTTTACCTAAAATGACGATAAGGACATCCGTGATGATCTCCTACACTAGGAGTTAAGGAGATGATCTTTTGACATGAGTAAGGTGTATAGTCCTGCAATAACCAAGAACAAAGAAGTGTACACGCAATTAAGGTATGTCCTATAATCTGATTTGCTACTTAAAGGAAGAAGACTGATATAACATCGGAAACTCACCACTCTCTTCCCTTCTTTGCCATAATTGTGCCGAATGCTGTATGCATATTCTTTGTCAAACCTCTCTGCTCCAACCTGTAACAAAACATGTAAGTAACAACGAACATTCTTCAGTGATATGCCCAGTAAAAATGCTTGGGATTAGCTTACCTTTTGAGAGAACTCTGCCTTCCAGAAAGCAAGCGCATCATCCAACTTCAGCCCAACTCCCTAACACGAAGAAATGAACCAGTGAGCAAAGTTTTCAGTGCAGCAATATACTTAGAACCAACGCCATAGGCTGCTGCATGAAAGGATTGGACAAATAACAAGTGAAAGCCAATGTTAACGGGTGGGGCAGCTTGCTGCGGTTCCATATGAACTCCATGAACAGGCCAATGGAGTTAAGAAGAACCTTGAGAAAGAGACCCAATTGCATTCTCCCCCAGTGCTTGAGATGATGATCCTCTCTGAGCTGCCAAAAAGAACACAAAGAACCAATTGTAAAAAGCCAAGACCCATCAAGGCTAACGGTGGATGTAGAAACGTGATGAACTACAATCAAATGCAAATGTCAGCCATGTTCCTGAGAAAATAGAAGTAAACCAACAGAACAACTTACTTTGTCAAATAGATGGCGCATGCACAAGGGAAACGAGCTCTTGGCCACATTGTCGATGTCTTTCAGCGACACCTCACCAAATTCCCTTCCCTGCAAAGATGTCCCTCGTGGTCATATAAAGCTAAAGGTCACAGACTGAACTCTGAAAGATAGTTGCAAGCATATACAGAGGTGTGAGAAGTACCACAGAATAGTCAGGACCCACGTAGCTCGTTGATAAGGCTTCCACGATCTAACAAAAAGCAACCAAGAGAATGTTCAGCAATGAAGTAAGAATTGAAACCCAAGTGAACCTCCAGTAGTCGTGATTGAATACTCACAGGAGTTAACCTATCCTTCTCCTGTTCTCTAATGGTAGACATCCATTTCCTGGAAACATATATATTGAATTCATACGAGTTCAGGTTAAAACGAATACCATAGAGACAAACAAACATCTAATGTAGTGAAAAGTATTCTCAGGCTGAACCTTTTGACTCCATTCACCTATGGGCTATCATACGGAAAGCACTAACCTGTTAGTTAGAGTGAGCGCTTTTGAGAGAAGACTTCGAAACTGAGTGGCCACAAGAGACACGACCTAAAATGTGAAATCAGACTAGCTTAAATAAAATATGAGGATGTCAATGTGGCAAAATCATGTACATTGGAGAAATGGCATTACCTGATTCATGGCGACATACGCATACCCATCGCTTAGGAAAACTCTACGACCAGCCACAAGTTCGGGAACTTCTTGAAATGGAACCTTCAGTAGAGGGTAATAAGTACAAAGGATATATCAATCACTGTGAGAAGACTGACTTCATCCAGAATAAGGCAAAGGAAGGTTGATTCCTACACATATGACACTGTGATTGCTATAGTGTTATCTATTCCCTACTGCTTCCCTCTAAGCATTATCAAATGCAAGCACAAGATACGTCGAACTTGATCAACAGCAAGATGCCAATCATATGCAAACACTTCAAATCAAACCCCTACTACCCCAGGACATTAAAAATTAATCATATACCAGCTCTAACAGCTCGAGGAATATACCTTGTAAAATATAGCATCAGCTGTAGGTAAAGTTTGGTTGATTGAACGGGCAACTAGAGTCAATTTGTCCTTTATAACCTGTCAAACAAAAGAACCCCATGATTTCACATTCACATTTTGGAATCGACTTAGCTTTGTGCTGCGACATGAATTCAAACGAGAGAGAAAAGGCGCCAATAACCTCGAACTCTGAGGTAGTGACTGCCTTGTAAGGAAGTTGAAACTCAGCCAATACAGCCCTCTGTGAGCTTCCAACAAGCTCAGTTAGCAAACAGATTCTCAGAGAAACCACGAATCAAAGAAGGTTTAACGAAGATCTCATTCTTATCACCTGAGCTTCAGCCGTCTGAAGGCGGAACCTATAGCGGAATAGAGCCGTCTCCATGGAAAGAAACCACTTCCGTAAGTCCTCCCTGTGAGCAAGGATTCGGACACGGTAAGCAAGGAAATGGAAGCAACAATAATCGAGAGAGAGGGCGCAAGATGTGGAAGGAGAAGCTGCATAAACCATACGTTCTACAGTAGACAAGGCGGAGAACGAAATGAGAGATGATATCCTTGTTCATGACCTCCGATGCTTGGGGATGCCTCATGTTCGCTTTCCACAGTTCAGCGACCTGCAAAGGGAAATCGATTAGAAACTCAATCGAAAAAATTCCAGTTTCAAAAACCTAATAATAAGCCGAAGATCCGGGCTACTGTTCTGACCAGTTTCTCCATTTCCTCGGGCCTCTTCCCGCGAGACAATCCATCGGAAATGCCCGTGAGGACTGCAAAAATCAAGACACCGGGAGTTAAGGAGACGAATCGAATCGAAAAATAAATAACAATAGAAAAAAGATGAAAGCGATGGCTATAAAGAAAAACCTCGGAGTCGATCTATGGCGTAGAGCTCGAAATCCTCAAGCCGGACTTCGAGAGATGGAGCCGAGCGGTAGAGCGGAAGAGTTGGAACGCCGCGATCGATTGCAGTAGACTTGAGTTGAGGACGACGAACTATCTCCATTCTTTCTCTCGCTGCTCGCTGGCCTAGTAATTTCACTCACAAGCCACGGATTAACGGAACGCCGGCGCGAGATGTGAGAATGGGGAAAGAGGGATGCAACTGCCGACGCTGACCAGAGAAAAGAGGGAACGATTTCGCAGTAAGTAATTCTGATTTTTTTCCCCCGCGATATTGGTCCCAGTATCAGTCGCGGCCAAAATGGCGCCAAGGGAGCGGCTGTATTGGCGGGAAAGGGTTCGGCTGGGGGGAAGAAGAAGAAATCGCTTTGTGGATTTTCAACGTGTTGGGATGGGGTTGGACTTTGGATCCTCCCCGGCCCATCTGCTCGATGAATTCAAGCCTTCCCAGGGCGAGAGCCCAGGTCTCTCAACTTGCATTCGTTTTCCATCTTAACTAACATTTTTAACAAAGTGATAATCAAGGTTGTCAACTCGCGAGTGGATTCGCTAGTTGATCCATTTTGATCTGACACGGTACACAGTTGTTGGGTCAACCACTGAAAGGTTATCGGTTGGAGGTCATATGGTGTCACTTTTTCCTTTGCTTTGCGAAATGTACCTATTTTTCGGGTTTTTACTTTGCCTAATCGTGTTTTTGGAATTCTAAGTTGAACATTTGAATATTAATGTTATATAAGTGTGTAAATTTTTACTATATGTTGGATCCAAGTACGACATGTTATTTTGGTGTAATGTTATATGTTATTATCCATATGTTATATGAGATTTGATATAATTTATAAGTGTATGAACAATATACTTTTGGATTTTGCTACGGTGACATGCATGTCACCGTGACATGGACTTTTCGGTCGACCTAATTCTCAAGGCGGTCGACCGAATTGACAAATTCAGTTATGTGAGGTTCAGAGAAGCGGTCAACCGTCTACATAAAATGGTCGACCTCTTTGGTGGTATAACAGAATGAAAGGTCGACCCAAATACCTCATAGGCCGACCCTTGTGCACCTATCAGGTCGACCTCATTAGTAAGAGGTCGACCGCATGCACACCGTATCCGTATTGGATAAGGATTCCAACAGCAGAAAGGTTCCACAATTAGACAAGAAAACGAATTGAGTCGACCCATTCACGTCCTAAATCTCTATAAATACGAAGAAAATGTGGATGAGGGAGAGAGGGGACATGAGTAGGAACTCGAAGATTTTAGATTGTGTGTTTTTATTGTTAAGTGGTCAAAACGATTGTTGATTGTTATTTTGTTGTATTAGTTTTTTTTATGTGTGAATAATTATGATTTATGTTTTATTGTATTTCTTGTTAGTTTGTTTAGTTGTTATGCTATGAATTGATGAGTCCTTGTTATCATTACTTATGACAATTTATGATGGTTTGAAACATAATTTATACGAGCAAAAGAACCACACAAATCGACATACATAAGCAAAAAAGACACGGGGCATAGGTTGACTTATCTGGTCGACCCTTTTGTTAAAAGACACGGGGCATAGGTTGACATAAGCAAAAGAACCACATCAAATGATTGGACACATTAATAGAACACTTATCTTCTATCTGGTCGACCCTTTTGTTAATGACTGCCATCAAGTGGTCGACCTATATACCTTTACGGTCGACCATGTTGTTTCTAACGCCAACGAAATGGCCGACCGAGATTTTATTCTAGTCGACCAAAAATAACAACTTAAACTAAGTGCGGTCGACCAGGTGGTCGTTGAGGTCGACCGCAATGCTTTCTCGTGCTGCCCAAATTAGTCAATTCGGCCGACCGCCTTCAAGATTAGGTTGACCGAAAGTCCATGTCACGGTGACATGCATGTCATAGTAGGCATACCCTATACTTTTTTTTTCACATATCCAGACTAAAGCGGTCACACCATTAACCCTTAGCTCACTTGTACAAACGGGCAAACGGACTAAACCGGATTAACAACCTTTGTGGTAACTTATCTTTTTCCTATCTTTTTCAATAAAAAAATGAAGTGGTAACTTATCTTTCTTTAATATTAATAAATTTTCGTACAAAAACCATTATTGTTAATATTCTGATGAATTAAATTAATGATGAACTAATGTTACATTCATTATTTACAATTTTACATTTTTTTGTGTAAATCTTTTATTAACTTTTTATATATAGCTTAACTTTTAAATGACATGGATGATGCATTTTGACTCAATACTCATAGAGCAATTATATGTTGTAAAGTATTGGTACTTTAAAGTACGACTTGAAATTGTACCATAACATTAAAAGTACAACTTAGAAGTTATATCATAAGAAAATTTGACCTTTATCTTATAATACAACTTGTGACATAACATAAATGTACAACTTTAGTTTGTACCATAAAGAGATTTGACAAAAGAGTACATGTACAATCATAGGCAGAGGCAGGGCATTTGGGCCTTGTCACGGGACATGAGTAAATTTTGGAGAAAAAAATACCCTATATATATTTATATTGACGATGGAACATAACATGTATAAGTGGTATGAGAGTATTTTTGACACTACAACACAACTTATTACTTGTTCATCAATCGACATAAAATTAATTTATTATATTATAAATGAAATTCCAATTGCAGTAAAGACCTAATTAGATCTCTTTTCAGTTTCGAATGAACAATGTCTTGACGGGTAGATTTTTTTACATTTTTCTAAAGCTATAGTTCACCATCTGAAAACTTTTTGAAAACAGGAGACTCCTTTGCATAATAAAAAATCTTTGAATAGGTCGAATAACATGGCATCCAACACACATCAAATGGTCATTATATCCAATTGAGGAACTTTTGGTGTTGATCCTTATTGTAAGAATGGACATTGAATGAAGAAATCTAGATGCAGAAAGTAAAGAACAAGACGATTTAACGTGGCTTCCCTGTTCAACGCGAACATGATTAGACCACGGAGAGCTACGACTCTCAACTCAACTCTGTGACTAGGTGTTTACCGGTTACACCATACACACTACAGTCGAGTCTAATGTCCCTCATTATTTACGCCTCATTAGGGTTACATTAGCAAATTACCAAAAGCTACTCTAACTAAGGCCTATATAACTCAAGCACAGGCGTGAATGTCGTGAAGGCCAAGCTTGGAAGACAGGTAGGCGAATTGTTCAGCTCTCAGGCCTTTTGTGAAGATGTCAACAATTTGGTGATTCGTAGGGATTTTCCGAGGCTCCATCACAACACTAGTAACACGCTCTCGGACGAAGTAACAGTCTATTTCCACATGCTTTGTCATCTCGTGAAAAATAGGATTAGCTGCTAATTGCTATAATCAAAGCTGCTTGGTTTTAACAATACATGGGAGTAGCCTGTCGAACTGGGACACGAAGAAACCATCACAGTCATATCACCTCGCTCACTACATTTGCCATGGCGCGATATTTTGCTTCAGCCGAAGAACGGGCAACAACTGCCTGTTTCTTAGTTCGCTAGGAGATGGGACTGTTGCTGAGCGTCTTGAAGTAACTCGTGGTAGAACGCCTCATCCGCTGACAACCCGCCTAGTCTGCATCACAGTATGCAGTTAAGCTAAGGGTACACGTAGCAGGGAGGATAATGCCCTTGCCTGGTGAACTCTTCAAGTAGCGCAAGACTCGATGTGCAGCATCGACATGATTTTGTCTGGGGGAATGAACCGCCTGACTCAAAATATTAACTACATAGGTAAGATCAGGTCGAGTAACAGTGAGTTAGAGTAATCGCCCAACTAACCTGTGGTAATATTTAGGATCTGTAGTTTCTGGTCCTTCAATGCGAGTGAGGTGGTGATTCTGTTCGATCGGAAAATCACGAGGACCTACGCCCGAGTCCTAGTATCGCTCAAAATATCCAGTGTATATTTCCTTTGTGACAAAAATTTCCCTTTTGAAGACCGGGTACTTCTATGCCTAAAAATATCTCAAAGGACCGTGACACGCTATAACACAACACCAAAATACGACCAAGTGCAATCGTAGGATGGAAATGTAGAACAATGGTTTAGCTTTAATATCGACTCGGCCTCTAGATCTACTGCTTACTCCGTGAACTTCTAGTATCTAGGGGGAACAGTATAGTGAGGTTGTTTAAAACTAAAGAAACGAAAAGCAAGTAATGTGCTGGTTCTTTCAAATACTAAAGGTCATCCAAGTATGGTTCCCCCTAGTATGCAGCTAGTTCAGGTTATACGTTCCCAATTTGTTCAGATTGAAAGATACACTTCAGAAAGTTCTTGATAAGTTTGGAATCTCGACTAAAGAAGACCAGACCCTCTTGGTTCGAATACCCGACGGACGACTAACCTCCACCGACATAAACTATTAAGGCAATAACACACCAAACTTCCTCTAATGGCTTTAATTCCATTACAGGGTAGTGAATCGAGCAGTCGATTCACCACTTCCAATTTAAGGTTGCTCTTTTGACCTATGCAGAACTATCGTTCTAGGTTAATGTAGGAATCACACAAGTTTGATAAGGACTCATGAAATTCTGATTAATTCCTCAATTGAATATATCAAATCAATCGTTCTCAAACGGGGTTCATACAACCATTCCCAGCATACAAAACTAGGGTTCTTCAGACCCAGATGAAAGGGGAGTTAACTCCATGGAAAGAAGTGGAAACATCATGGTAGGGGAAGAAATCATCGTGTGGACAATGAAAGTCTGCTCCTGGCGGCTAATCAATACTCCGAGGATGAGGAATTGATAGACCATTGATTGCACATGTTTTTACCCATTCTTGAGCCGTTTGAGATGTCGATTCATGCGTTTTAGGCCGATTGCACGATAGGTTGTTCTTTTTTGTGATATTTCAGGTCCTAGCAAGTGAATGAAGGCTTGGGAACGAGTTCGGGGTCGATTGGACGAGGATTGGACATTTCGCCGGAAGCTGATGGAGCCACACGGTACGCCTAAAACCTACACGGCCGTGTAACCTGGCCATGTGGCATCAATTGCACAACTGGGCAGCCTGGGAACTCACACGACCATGTGGTTGTGGCCGTGTAGGATGGTTGAAGTCCACTTATCGAAACGACGCGTTTTGCACAACTCACACGGGCAGCTGGGGAAGTCACACGGCCGTGTGATCGGGATTTTTTGCTTTTAACCCAATTTCCAGCCACAAGTGAGGGGTTCCGAGTTTTAGAGAGAAAAAGTGCGACCTAGAGAGAGAAAGTGACGAACCTGATTCTGCAAGTGTCCTAGATCGATCTCCATCACCATTGGAGCCCGGCTTGAGC